AACAAAATGGTATGGCAAAAGCAAAGGGGTTCCACGCACCTCTTCTCTCATCAATTATTAAAACGCAGCTAATAAAATATAGCTAACACTAAATGATGGAATAAAATATTTTGAATTATTTGACTTTTCTTTATCTAGCTATCGAGTTATATTATTTTTGTTGAGAATAATACATACGTCCTAATCAGTTGCCTAGCCTCTATCAACAGTTTGTAATGTATAAAGTAATGTTTTTATATTTCAACGATTTATCTAGTCTTATAGTATAAACTATTATTATTTGTGGCATTGTGTACCTTCGTGCATTTTCTAGATTTGAATGTATATGATTATAATAATGAAGAAATAGTCATGGTGCCATGTTAGCTGTATATTATTTTAAATACCGCTTATGATATCTTAATCGACATAATAAACCTCCAAAGTTGAGATCAACATTTTAAACCTGCAAACTTTAACATTCACACTTTAAACCTTCAAAGTAACATTGTTAGCATATTAAACCATCAAAATATGGTTTTTGTTCGCGCCAACATTTTACGGGACAGAACTGTTAACATCATTAACGGAAAAACTAACTCCCTTTTGTTAATAAAAACGTGTCTTTTTGCAATTAAAAAATAAAACATGTTTAACTAATATTTACAACCCCCCTCCCCAAATCGATTTCTCTTCTAAGGTTCGGGAAATTGGAAAAATTTTCTGGGAAAAAGAACAGAGAGAATTAGAGACGGAGAAAGAAAATCGAAGGAGTATCGAAGAATTCCTCGTAAGTTTTCGAATCGGTAGAGGTTAGGAATTTAATTTCTATGATGTCTACTTGTATAAATTTATGAATCTAGAAAAATTTGAATCAGATTGATGGTGATTGTGTTGGTTAATGAAGGTGGGTGCGCAAGTAATAATGCATTTGATTTGTATAAGTGTGTTTTGTGCAGATGGCTCAATGTTCAGGTTCGTCAAACTTTGAATACAAAAATGAAAATGACAGTGTTGTGTGTCTTTGGAAGTGTCCATCAAAGATTGTGAAAGCTTGGACAGATGACAATCCTGGGAGGCGATTCAATAGTTGTGGTAGAGGACGTTCTTGCAATTTTTTTCGTTGGTTTGATTAGAAACTTTACAGATGGGAACACCTGACATTGTTGGAGGCAAGAGATCACATGCGTGAGCAGAAGGAGGAGATTAAAAAGCTCAAAGATACGATAAATGAACTGAAGCGAGAGGGAGAAATTGTAGATATGAAATTTCCGACGGATTTTTCGAACGAGCTGAAAAACTATCGTGATGAATGTGTCATGCTCAAGCAAGAAGTGTTGATATTAAAGGAAAGGAACAATGGTTTACGCAACGTTATCATCAAGTCGTCTGTTGGATTTGCAGTGGTAATTGGGGTGATGTTAGTCAAATGGAAGTAGAAGAATTTAACTTACCAGAATACCTATGGT